TTGCAGTAGTCTATCTGGGAGATAACAAGGGCATGAGTGACTGTTCAAAGGGCATCCCGATATAATAATATAATAGTAGGCTTTAAACCAGTTTGGGGTAGAATTTAATAGCCTGACACCTTTTAACAGCATTTCAGCGTGATGAGGCTTTCTGAGCCAAGACTAGTTATAGACCTGTGTGCTTCTGTTCAAAGGCACAATCCCTGGGTTTGAATCCCTCATCTGTATCTCTCAATTTTAAATTTGTTCAGTCAGTATCCCTTTGTGTCTGTATTTTCATGAGGCAAATGACTAGGAAAATTACTAGGAAACTGACCTGATAGACTTCTGAAGATTCCATGTTCCCCAAGGAAAAATGGTAGATTTCTTCCATGCCTTCACCTTGGGTTCCTTCTCCCTTCAGCAAAGCTGTTGTCTTTTTTTCTGAACAACTGGGCAGACTTCCAAAGAAAGCACCAGGCTGCTGTCATTCACCCTTTTTTATTTACTAGATGAGTATATGATTAGTTAGTTAGTTAGATTTATATTCCATCTTTTGTTCAGGAAAGATAAGGTATAAATCTAACAAATAAAGTAATAACTCAAAGGATTTATTTTCAAATTAAATGAGCTGAAACTCAGAATGTTAGAATGTCTCAAGTTCCTTGAAATCTACACTGGGATGGGTGGAGGGGATCTTGCTTCTTAATCAGCAGTTGGAATAAAATGTAAAAGCTGTACTGTATTGAGTTAATTTTGTATTTCTTAGATCTATGCAAACTCTTTTATTTATAAAACATTTATTTATTTGATTTGTGTTCTGCTTTTCATTCAGGGGCTCAATTCAGCAGACAAAGCACTTCCTCTTCTCATTTTTCTTCACAACTGCCCTGTGAGGTTGGTTGGGCTGAGAAAGAATGATTGCTCCAGATCACCCAGAGAGCTTCCAAGGGTGAGGGTGAACTAGAACTCACACGTTCCTGGTGCCAATCCAGCACTTTAACCACCTCACCATAATGAGTTCAGATTTTTAAATTTTGTTTATTTATTTTAGGGTAAAGATTGGAATGCAAAGGAAAAGGGCTGAGTATGTTATATGCATAGATTTATGTATTTTACATCCTGCCTTTAATTCAGGAGCTGAAGGAGATGGGCATAACTCTTCTGCCTCCTGTTTTTCCCTAAAATGATAACTCTGTGAGCTCAGGTGATGGGTTCTGGGACTCCCCTGTTGCTCCATTTTTAAGCTGAAACAACAACGTTCAATGTTTTCTTCATTTTACAGTCTGATATGAAGTTTATTCTTGCAAATGAGCCTGAAAAAATGGCTAACTCTCACATTTTACTATTTTTCTTGCCTTTGTTACATTTATCCCTGGCCATTCCACATTTTTGTTCTTGAAAGAAGGAGAGCAAACACAAACGTTCCTTCCTTCCTTCTTTCAAAAGTGATTCTTACTGGGACAGTTGATTGGGTGACAGGCTGTTTACAAGCTTGGGAGGTTCAATTCCTGTGTTATTTATGTGTCCTAGGAATGCACAGATGGTGCTGAATAGATGTCTGACTCAGTTGACACAGGGTATGATGGAACACAAGGGAGATAGCTATCTTTGGCCCAAGCCACCAAGGGCATTTAAGTTGCAGTAAAATCTACTATTTGGTTATTTGTAGCACTGATGTTACATAAGTTCTTTTGACTTAACACCTATGTAAAGAAAACAGACGTTGAAACGTGCAGCTGCAAAAAAAGAAAGAAAATGGCAGAAACTGGCAGATCACAGATTTGAGCAATGCGATGAAAATGAGAAGTAGGTGTACAGTGAATTAAATATCTTTTAGAGTAGGTAGAATCAGCTGAGGAGAAGCCTCTTCCACTTATTTTATTTTATTTGTAAAGATTGGGGGTGGGGGGGTTGATGGGCTTTTTGTATTTTAATTTTCTAAGCTGCCTGGAGTCACCATGTGTTTATATGTATTAAACATATAAATTTGTTTAATAAATAAAATAAAATTTCCTTTTCTTAGAGTTAATATTTTGCCATCTGTCCTTCCTTCTTTCCCTTCATCAATTAGATTGATGAAATTAAATCTAAATACTTGCCTTTGTTTTGATTAAAGCCAGGCAGTGTTGCTGTTGTCTCAGTATTAAAACTTTGGGGATGCTGTTCAGATGGGCTTCTAGTGTGGAATGAAATTAGATGTGTAATTCATTTTCAGTAGGAACTAGAAAGGAATAGTGAATTTAAGTGCTTTGATAATATAATACCGTGGACCAATGAGTGCTGATCATTTTCCAGAAATTGATTCCATACAGATCTAAAAGATTGATTTAGGTAGGAAAGCATGCAGCAGTCTGCCTATTTTCTCCTTGTATTCCAAGTCTCAGCTTAGAAAAGGGGTGCACAGTTTGTTTACATCTGGATATTTTGAACTACAGTTCCCATAATTGCTTACCATTTGGCCAAGTCTAAAACATCTGGTGGGCAGCAGTGTGTTGGCACTGGATGAAAATGTGCCCTGCTTGGTGAGATCAAAGGCCTAATTCTGCATCCAGTTTGCCACAGATGTATGTCAGATGCCATCTAGAAGCTTATACACAGATTATGAAAGAGGAACCTTCTCAGGTTGCATCCTCAACATCTCTGATTCAGAGGCATAATTTCATCTGTAAAAGGAAAACCATTCCTTGCTGTAGAATTATAAAAATTATGTGAAAAGTCCCCATAATCTATAGTGGGGAGTCTCAAACTCACCCTCCCCCCATCATTTTCTATAGCCTTCAGCAGTAATTTGTAGGCAAAGCCAGAGCACTGAAAGTTACATAGATAGGCAGACCCTCTGGGCAGGGGGGCTCAACCAGGGAATCTAGGAGGCTGGGGCTGCCTGCGGGGGTAAGGAAGAGAGTGGTATCTGATTGCCCAGTCTTGAGGGTCCCTCAGCCAGTGGAGGGAAAGACATGAGCAGGAACTCTTCTAGCAAAGGAAGAGTCTGCCAGAAGAGAAGGCAACTATTAAGAAGACCAAATGAAGGAACAATCATCCTGGTCAGCAAGGAGAGAATTCAAATAAAAGCAGGATTTGAGCAGCTGTGGGATGGTTTTCCTAGGATGTATCACTCTAAATATCATCTTCAAAAAATATTGTACATCAAGCCTGTAATAAAGCCAAGTACTGGCATTCTGGTCAATGAATAATGCTGCCAGCTGAGAGGCCAGCATGAAATGGCTCCATGTTTTCCAAGTAGGGCATCAGTGGTAAAGTTTTTCTGTGTAATTTAGTTTGAATGGTATACCATGATTCATATTCTTCATTTTTGACTCACCAGAACTTTCTGTACTGATGTATGAAAAGGCTTTAGTATTATAGCTCATGGATTAATTAACAAAACCTCATGTGGTACTCCTGATGGTTCAAGATTTGACTCTTGCTCAGTAGCTGGTATTGTCAGCTTTGGAATAAACTCACAGAAAATATAGGTTTCATTTTCCGGAAGATACTGTGTTCTCAGGGTAATGCAGACTTCCCCAATCTAGTGTCTTCGTGTGTTGGAGTCCAACTGCTTGGAGAAAGCTAGGATATAGGATTTGGGACAGGGGGGCATGTTTAAAGAAATCAAGAGAGAGCCTTGTTGCAAAAGGGGGAAGTTTCTAAACTCCACTTAGGTTTTAGGTTTTATACTAAAGATGCTTCTTTTTATGCCTTTGAGTCCATCTTGATTCCTGGTGACCCCAGTTTTCCTGGTGGACCATCTTGATTCCTGGTGGACCCCAGTCCACCCAGTTTTCTAGGCAACTTTTTCTAAAATAGTTTGCCACTGCCTAGGGTTGAGAGAGCATGACTGGCCCAAAATCATCCAGGTAGGACTACAACTTGGGTTGCATGCTACTAGTCTAGCACTTTAATCACTAGACCAAACTGGCTCTGTTGAATAACATTACTTACTTATTCAGATATAAATTAAAGCACATTCAGTGGAGTGTAGTACTTCTTTAGGGCTGCAACCTTTCTTAGCAAATAAGGGGCTTAAGCAAAGCAGTTATGCCTCGGAGGAGTTAGGCCACAAATATTGTTTATGACTTATCTGCCTGAAAACAGTGGTAAAATAAAATTTTAGTAAAATTTGTTAATCGGAAATGGTGCTACCAAACTCCTGATCTTTTGCCGCCGTAGACTAACATGGCTCTCCTCCTACAATGTCTATCTCAACATAGTTGATCTGAGACGCCAGTTACTTTTGTTCCTTTTCCACCTCCCCAGGTACCAGAATCATCTACGACCGCAAGTTTTTGTTAGATCGGCGCAATTCTCCCATGGCTCAGACCCCTCCTTGCCACCTTCCCAATATTCCAGGAGTTACCAGTCCTGGTTCAGTGACGGAGGATTCCAAAGTGGAAGTAAACAATCTGAACAATCATGACGGGAAACCTGTAATTGGTAAGAACACTGTATTGTGGCAGAAGCAAAGTGCAGTGTCTCCATGCAAGTTGAAATACCTGTCTGTAATTGGCAACACCCATCCATCTGTCTGCTACTGCCGTTTCCTAACATCCTGAATGACAAAGAGATTTTTCTGGGGGGAAAAATGCAGTACTACTGATCTCCATGTGCTTCATGGCCAGATGGGAAGTGATACAGGGCTATCCTACTTCCTGCACTGTGATTTTGTTCAAACATGAGTTTTACCTTGGGATCAAGTAATTTATTTCCTGTCTGCAGGATTATTTTTTCTCTAATGCTTTTAGAGAGCTTCTGCTCGTAGAGAACAGTGAACTGTTACACCAATCGTATGTGGTGGGAACTTAGGTTGAATTATTGTCCTATTGCCTGCTGTGTCATAACAATTTAATAGTTATGAATTACTGAAAGATCCTCATTTTCCAAAATGGGGTAATACAATTCGTTCATGTAGAACACACACACACTCTTGTCATATGATTTTGATCATATCATTTGCTGAGTTGGACTTGATCCATTAGAGGAACTAGACTACAACTTGGGTTGCATGTTGCAAACTGTTGGCTTTCTAGGCTAAATAGGAATTGGACAACAAACTTAGATAAGTGAAGCTAATAACAATTTACATACATTTTTCTTCTTATTTAGCTGATCTCAAACAAAACCAACTTGTACTTCAAGTTCAAAGTTTATTTTGGTCAAAGACTAGTATATAGCAAAACAATAACAAACTGTTTAGAAGTAAAAGAGGAAGGCCAGATATAAAACACAAGCTAGAACTTGAACTTGAACTTCTTGTACTAAAAATGCTGGAGGTGAGAAATGTACAAAATATTCCATGCATGAACTGTTCCATGCACAGATCAGACGGCTTTGGTTGCTATGGAATGTGTTTTGGGTATTTTGGCCCATATACCGAATGAAATGGGGCAGTTTTATTTTGCACATGGACTGAACATGGTGGTTCCATAATGCAGCAGAGGATGATCAGGAAAAAACCAAGGCTGGCAGGTTTGCTTGGCAGTAGTGTATGTCTGTGAAGCTAATGGTGTTGAGGAGAGTTAGGAAAGGAAAGCTAGCTCCTTGCACAATTGTTGTCATGTCAGGGACCATAAAGGGACCACACTTCAGTGCCACAAGCTGAAGGAAAGAAGCTGGAAAGATCAGGGGATAGGAGAGCTGGTGGGGCATGTTGTGCTGTGGACCTGCTGAGATCATTGCAGTAAAGAACTGGCATGCAGATCATGTGGAGAAGGAAAGGAGAGAGGGAGAGATGTGCACCAGAATTGTCCTATCCCATTAAATCACTCAGGAATGCTCTTTAGGTTTTGTTTTGACCAAAACCTGGAAGAACCAAAAGGTTCTGAGTTTTGTTTCTCCCAAACTATGGTGGATCCAAAATCCACCATACAAGTCAGTTCCAAAACAGTTCAACAAAGCTTCTGAAATGGGTTGGTTTGTTTTGAGATCAAAACAAAACACATTTTCCATTTTGGGCACATCTTCATGCAGCAGGAGGGAGTAAAGATACTGGATAAAAGGGTAGGAATGTTCCTTCTTATAAAGAAGCATTTACATCAAGAACAAGCAAAATACATACTTGAGCATAGGTATATCTGTCCAGACATGCCAGCCAGATTTTCTGTGCTGTGCTATTTTTAGGCCAGTAATTGTCATCACCTAATGGCTAGGTTAAAATGGCATATTCCACCTACATTTTCAAGTGGTTCTGACTGTTCCCTTACCTTGGCCACCTACATGTGTCAGTGAGGTCTGGCTCAAATGTGATTGAAAGTAAAAATTCACTATCCTCTTAGGACACTTAAAAACCATGTCTGTAAAGTTTCCCCCATAAGAACTTTCTATTGATTTGCATGTGCTCTTGTCTTTCAATCAGGTGATGATGCTCAATTTGAGATGGACATCTGATTTTCCCTGAGGGTAACCATGGAGAGACAGCAATTCCTGATCACCTGTGTACATCTGATTTTGACCATCAGGTTCAATAACTCGAAGGATGGAAGAAGAAGCTGCTGTTTCCACAGAATTTTCACTTCAGCTTTTGAAGTGCCAAAGGATAAGAGGACTGTTTTCCCCTCTCCTTGATTTCCATTAACCATACCATGCTTCCTACCCACCCCCACTCCTGTGCTTGCCTTACTCACTCCCTATGAACTGACTTGGAGCCCATGATAAATTTATACAGCTAAGGAGTGTCCCTTGGCTTCTCGCACTTTAGAGACAACTTCTCAAATCATGCACATGCGAGAATTTAACCTCTATCAGCAATTGGATATTTATTGCAAAACACACAAGGGCCATGGAAGGGGTGGATATATGTTTGAAGTGATATGACACTGGCATTGTTCTCCTTTCCCTTAACTGCTGTTAAATTGATGTCAGTTATTAACTGGTTTCTATGTTATATCTTCTGTTGATGTGCAGAATGCACTCTCTTTGATACTTCTAAATCCTGTTGCTCGTCTTTTCTAGTTAGTATATCGTTTCATGTGGGCGCTGCTGTGGGATTTTCCTAAAAGAGTATTATTGGAGTTTTTTTTTCCACTTTCCCTGAAAATTTCTTTAAAAAAAGAAGAGATAAATAACTTAGAATCATCACTTCATCATGCACTCGTTTCGCTTTGCATTTCATACCAATATCATTTCAAAACAAAAGTTTATCTCCAATTTGTTTAAACCCACCAGTGTTAAAGGGGAACCACATTTTTTCCTAATATAAATTGGGAGTATCATGCCTGATGGACTTCTATACCAGTGTTTCTCAACCTCAGCAACTTTAAACTGTATGCACATCAACTTCCAGAATTCTGGGAGTTGAAGTCAACACAGTTTAAAGTTGCTAAGTTGAGAAATACTGTTCTGTACTATTCGTCTCCAGTCTTTAATTTTTGCTGCTGAATAACATCTGGGTTCTTGGCAAGTCTGTTTTTGTGCCAAAAAGATTAATTGAAACAACCTGGTTATGTTTAACCAGGAGGCACTCAACAAAAAATTGAAATTCTTGAAAAAGTCTTGTGTGGACCAGGGAACCTTAAGAATTAGTTACTGGATTATTAAGATGTTGAGTGCTGATTTCATGATGTATGACTTCAAATGAATTTGAAATGGTGAGTGATCATATAGTTAATAAGAGTTCACTGCATTTTTGGAGCAAGACCTATTTGTTTGGAAAAGTGGTCACTTTTCCACACATTATTTGAATTCATACATTATTCAGTCAGTCACATTGGAGCCTGTTGGAGATCCAGTTTCAGTATGGAGGAGTTGTTGATGATCTCACTTAATTCCACTTATTTGGATATATTGGCCATTTTCCACCTACTGGTAATCCAACTGTTAAGCTGATTAGTTACAGCATGAGTGAACTTTTTTTTTTAGATTTTTTTTTTATCCCGCCTTTATTATTTTTATAAATTACTCAAGGTGGCAAACATACCTAATACTCCTTCTTCCTATTTTAAATTTGTGCTGTTTGCCTGGAATTGTTGCAGAGAGCAAGCAAGATCCCTCTTTATAGGAATTCATAGGCAGCTGAGTCTCCTTGTGAAAAAGCCAGTTACCATGAAGAGGGAAAAAATGGTAGATCATTTTAATTCAGCCAATGGATGAATCCATACCTTGGCTGCAGGACCCCTTCATGCTTTGCACCATGAGAATGCTTCTCCTTAAGACTGCAATATTAGATTGTTTTACACTGTCTAGGCTAATAGAGTAAAACTTCTTTGCTTGATTTAAAAATGTGTCACCGATAGATGGAAAGCAGATTTTTTCAAAACGTAATTATTTTAGGACCCAGACTTAATAAAAATTGCAATGATCATAGCAGAAGAGACATTTCTTCTTCTCTCAGAAGAGGGAATGCTGCTTAAGACAATGTTTGCTGTGGCCTATGTACACGATCCCTCCTGAACTAGGCTTTTTTTTTTTTTAACATAGCAGACCCACGCTGGAGCTTTTGGATGCTTGTCCCCTGTGTTCAGTGAGGCTTCCTCCCGTGTAACTATATTTTGAGAGTGTAGCCTCTGAGGCAGGGATAAGCAACTGTGACCCTCCCAGATGTCATTATACTGCAACCCCCATTATCTCTGGCCATTGGTCTTTGCTGTCTGAGGCGGATGGGGATTGGAGTTTTCTCCTGCTCTAAGATTCTTGCTTCTCTAAAATATTTGATTATTATTGCCTCTGATTCCTTCAGGAAGTCTTCCAAGAGTGATTCATGTGCTACCTCAAAAATAGAATGACTGAATTGTGCTAGCTTCCCTAGTGGGGAGGTCACATTGATGTGGCAATTTTGCACATGAATTTTATAGTTCAGGCGTAATTGGGAGTGGGAAGTGATACAGCCTCAGGGATGTGGCAACTATACTTGTTTTTAACGTAGGCATCACTTCTAGAAGAGTATCTGAAAATACGCTAGTCCTATTGGATTTTGGCCTATAAAATGACATAGTACATTTCAGTTCAGTTCTTGGACTCACCTGTATCTACAAATCCTGGAATTGACTTTGGCTCTTAATTCTCTTTATAAATTGGCAACTTATCATAATTGACTGGATTTAAAGCGGGGGGGGGATGATCTAAAATGGAGGGTCTGGTAAAACCATTTTGCTCCTTTCTGCCATTGTGGTAGCTTTGGAGGCATGTAAGAAAGACAGGATTTTATTTTATTTTGCCTACTGTAAAATGTGAATAATACAGAAGCAAAATTGCTTTGTAACTTTTGATGTCTCAGGAATAATCTCTTATTTGCAATGTTTCTGGGGAAAGATTGCTGCTTCTAAAGTGGTGACAATGCTGTGACTAAGCTGCAACTAGCTGAGGGAAGAATCCCCTAAAGTGCAGCGTAAGCTTCTGGATTTTGGCCAGGGTACTTCTCAAATGCACTGCACGTTGAGTCATAAATCAGAACAAAGTTGGTTCCATTGTTTTCTTCTGGAACCTCACTGGCCGTACAATTGATGAGACAGGATGGATACAGCTTTGCTTGGCAGATTTGGGCAAAACTGAGGTTTAATCACAATCCCGGCTCAGCTAATTCCAGGGAAGGAAGAAGAGAATAAGAATAGAGTTTGGGGCGCTGCTAACGGATACTGTTCTCAATGTAGTATTTTAAAAGAATTGTTTGGAACTTGGGAATTAACTTCAGTATGTTACCTTTTCCCTTCTAGTGATTTAACTGGTAAAGATTCCTTGAATAGCGCCATTCCTTTCACAAGAAAGAAAGCACCTCCTCTAACAGAGAAGTCCATGAGATTTTCCCAAATCAGTTTAGTTGCTGCTTGTAAAATTCTGATTGCCTCCGAAGTCTGTTCTATAAGCATAGCTGAAGGAAGGATTATTCCAAAGGCGAGGGCTGATCTGGAATCTGAGTGAGCAGATTTCTCTTCCTGCACTGCAGGGTTCCTCGTGTGTCTGGATAAATCTCCTAATGTCTCTCTGCTGGAGTTTCCCCAGTTTATAAAATTGAGACAGTAGACGCCTAACTAGGGTCGTTGTGAGAAAATAACAAATGCCGTGAAAAAGCCAATAATGTTCCATTTCCGTAAAATTTAGAAAACTGGTTCAGTCATGGCTACTTTCTCCCATGCCCCCTGGTTTTATTTCCCATCCTTGACTACCAATACAACTGTATTTTATAATTGAGCAAAGATGAGAAAGCTGTGTAGAAAAAAAAAGGCTCCGTTGCTTTGCTCTGCAGAGTTGATCCCCCTAGTGCATTATAGTTCTCAGTCTCCTTTTAACGCAGCCAAAACTGCAGAGAAGACTGAGACATAACAACGCCAGACACCTAAAATACTTGCAGCTGATTTTTATGCTGTAATTACTTGAAAAACTTCCAGCTGGTAGCTGAAAGAATAGAAATAACTGCTAGCCTGTTTTGCCGCCCCTCAAATTCAGAACCACAATCTCATTTATCAGTAACTTAGTGTTGTATCTACCTTCTAAACAGAGGCCTCCAGTGTTATATGATCATTCCCCCTGCTTTTTTTTTTTTTTTTTTTTTTGGTAAAGAAACTTTTGATAGCTGATAACTTTTAAGCACTGTTGTGAGCAATGTGGATCCATGCCAAACATTTTAGGTAAGTAAGGCTGCAGGCTTTAGTCAGTCAATTCCTTTTTTCGTTAACTAAAAGGAACAGATTTATGTCTGCTGTAGCACATGCCTTTCCTTTAATTTTTTCTGCCCTTTTCTTAAAACTCTTCACATTGAAATACCATATAGATGTAATCAACTGACTGCAAATCATTAATTAAAAGTCATTTACTGATTCTGTCTTTGGATTTATCTAGTATTAGGCTAGCAGGCAAAAATGCACACTATAGGGATATCTGGGGGGGAGTAGAGAAGGTCAAGCTGGCTGTGATTGAAGCTTCTTTTTAATGTGCGTTGTGTATGTAGCACATGTAAAAAAGGGATGGGGCTTCAGTTGCAGCCACTATCTTGACTTTGGTGACATGACTCTGGCCATGTTCTACTAGTGGGTGTGCAAATGCTGACGGGAAGATCAAGGATACCTAGTCTTAAGGAATTTGTGCTTTGCAAATGGCTTCTGCAGCTAGAAGCATTTTATGTGACATTTGCACAAAAGGATTTCACCGATGGCAGAGGTTTTGTACTAGGAGGTTGATACCCTAAGATGCCATCTTGTCTTTATGAACAACAATTAGTGATAAGTTGAGCCAGCTTGGCTATTGCAGAGCCTCTCAACTCTCCAGAAAGTAATTTGGATGAGCAAGCTGACATTTTGCAGAGCAAGGTGACTTCCTCACAAGTAATCAAGTTCTGTAAATAAACTCTCATCGTATTCCAGTAAGGACTTCATAGTGACTGCTAAGCACAGATACTCCCTACCTGAGGCAGTATACAGAAAATCCAGCAAGATTGGGTTTTTTTTCCTACTAGTGAAATTATGAGAAACACTATACCATATTATTGATTAAATTTCAGTAGGGCCATCTAATGTTGGATTTTACACGTGTACCCTGGAAGAGTTTTTTTTCTCTATACTCAGTAGATAAATGGAATATGTACAGTTAGAAAGCCATGGGTAGTTTCTGGCCACAGCTACCAATTTAGTATCCTAAATACATAAAATGAGGCATTCTAATGTGGTTGAAATGCTAAATCTTCCAGCATTCTGCTCCCAGAGAGGCCATGCAGATGCCAACAGGAAGCTCACAAGCAGGATTTGAGGACAATAGCACCTTCCCATTCACATACAGAAAGCCATTTTTCATATGTTAGAGGTACTATATGACTGCTGTGACTAGAAGCTATTTACAGTGGCATCTTACTAAAAAAAAGCAGAGCAAGAATCCATCTAGATAATGTTTACTAACGTGGTGAAACAGACTGAACCAGAAGTCACCATCACACCAAGAGTACATATTTGAAAACATTTCACTGGAAGTACCTGGATTCCATGCATTGGGTTGAACACTTGTGTGATAATGTAGCAACTTAATCATGCTGAAGACTAAGTAAATGCAGCACATACCTGTGGTAGAAAGTAGCACAACGCTTAACTAATAGCCTGTTTGCAGCTCATTGCCTGTTCAGTTTCCAAATGTCTAGGCTTATAAAATCTAGCAGGAGGCCAAGTCTTTATTATACTTTGTTTCCATCTCTCCTCAGATTATGTGAAACCATTGAATGTTTGGAGTTTGTCTCTTTACTGTTGTGCTTAAAGATGCAATTGGTTCCACATAGTGTGTTCCTTGTGGCAAAAAATCAGATTCTGGTCTTCCATCTTGTTACCTATGGCATTCCAACTTGGTGTGTTGATAAAAAAAACTTCATTCTGCCAATTCAGTTGTCTAAACCAGTGTTTCTCAACCTCCACAAGAGGAGGCTGGGAAATTCTGGGAGTTGGAAGTCCACCCATCTTAAAGTTGCTGAGGTTGAGAAACACTAGTCTGGACTGCTTTTGATGTCCTTTTATTTTCTGATCTTCAGCTGACTCACAAAAAGAATGGAGGATACACTACAAGTTGTCTGCAACAATTGTGGAGAGTGAGCCACTTATTTCTATAATGAAACTACATGGAAGGACACAAATATTTTAAGTATAGTAAGAGCAGTAGAATTGAAATACTTTAAATATGTGCTATTGCTCACTGTGATGAATTTCTGTTATAGTAGTAACACCTTTAGTATAGAGAACTATTAATAAATAATGGGCGTTTATGGTGGCCTTGGGAAGTCTCCAGTGTTATGGCTAAAGTACTATCTATCTTGACTTGGAGAGAACAGAAGCCACTTGGAACACTGGAACAGATCCGTGGTAAGTTCCCCTTGCTCTCACCAAAGATAACGTGCTCAGTGCATCAATGAGGATTTCTGGGGCCCACAATTCTGTCACTGTCTGTGGCAGTGTTGTCCAAACTTGGCCACTTTAAGATGAGTGGATTTCACCTCCCAGAATTCCCCAGCCAGCATGGCTGGC